TCAGTCTCACACAACCTCATCTCGATACCAATCTTGCGGTCGTTCGAAGTCATTGCCCGAAGAGGGACATTTGCAAACTTCCAGGTTTGCAGGAAGCCTTCCTTCGGTTCCCAGCAGAGGCATTGCAGGCTGGAAGCAAAAAAGGCAGATCTCTCATGATGTTGCCTCCCTGGCATGGCAAGCCGCCGGTCGGAAGGTGTTTTTCCCAGCGTGCCTTGGGGGAATAGCGACGCTTGCAGCAACGTCGAGAAAGCTTGGAGTGCCGGCTATAAATATCCAGCGGCAAGCTCGCCACACGAACGGTGCCTTTCCTTCGAAGTGCAACACATCAGATGATCTCGACAGTCTCTTTTTTGATGATGATATGCACTACGATCTTCGGGAGAATCGGCTTGACTGTTTGTGCGCGGGTTCTAGTTGCTACAGTCTTGAGCGTAAAGGGTTTTCGGATGGCTTTGCGGGATACGGCGGGGTAGACGTGACTCAAGGCTTTTTGTCTTTCTGACACGGGCTAGATTGGGACTTGAGAACATCTTGCTGGCACTCGAGCTTGGTCTTTTTTTGTCTTCGTGCTTCCCTGAACAGTCTTAACACTTCTTCGGTGTGGGATGTGCTTCTGGGATGTTCGGGATTTGTGTAGCATTTCTTGAAGGCATCAATGCGCGTGTTGTAGGGAAGTGCGGATGATGGGAGGGTTTCGGGTTCGTTTTTGAATATGTTATTATGAGCGGATGACAGATGTCGTGATGAGCCAGTTTCCGTGCCGTGCCGACTGGTGTAAACCCATCCGTTGTGAAGCCTTGCCTGCCTTGTGCGAGTTGGCAGAGTCCGAACTTTGATCCTGAACGGGAGAGAAAACCCGAAACCAGTTTTTTTCAGGGTTGTGGCTCCTTGTGACGTCAAGTGGGGCGGATTGGGGTGATGCTTGCTTATCTACAGCAGCTGCTGTCCGCCACTGAGAAAAGGATTCCAGGTTTGCGCCCTTTGAAGTAGGTAGCATTCCAAATCTTTTGAACCCAAATTCGTCAACCCAAGTTCTTTCCATTCACATCCGATTTTCTGAGCCATAGATTGGGCTGTAGGGTTTAGGGTGGCTACTGATAGTAATTGCTGAGCCCCTAAGTGTTTATCTTGGATGTTGTGGGTTCAAGACCGAGGCACTCGTGCTAGCCGACCAACCGCGGACGTCGGGTGCGGAGGCGTGAGCTTGGAGTTCGAGGAGTTTCAGGTTATTTTGGGGTTTAGGGTTTGGCGGTTTGTGGTTTAGGGTTCAATCAAGAGGGGTTTAGGGATGAGGGTGGTTTGTCGTGGGTTTAGGGTCTTGGATATAAAAGGTTTCGGGTTGATCCGACGGGGATCCTTTATCATGATGCAAGACAATCCTTTGTCAAGGGCTTTGGAAATCACGACAGAAAAGCCGTAAGTTCTGCAGACGTGTAAACGTGTAAACCCGACAAGGTGCTACTCCGGGCAGCGAAGATCATCGCGAACTCTTCGCTTCAACAGGCCATCAGAAAAGCTCTGGAGTTTAGTTGGTTTTGTGGGCTTGAGCTGTCGTAGAGTCTTTGAACTTGCACAAAAACTCAATTTGCAAGGGTTTCAGAAGTTTGCTGCTTGGATATATGCACCTAACCCTTAAAGCGAGGGGCAGGCCTTGTGTGAGTGTGAGAGTCGAAACCGACGTACAGGTATGGCTATGTAGAGGTTGAGCATCTGGCCTTGTTGTGCCGTGCGTGCCGCCAGCTGGAACGACTTCAAAGTTGTTTGGTGATGTTGTGGAACAGCTCGTAAATTCAGATAGAAACGCCAAACCCCAAAGAAACCCTGAACCCTAAAGCGATAGAGCGAGAAGCCCGAAGCGTGGAGACGAGGTTGTACCAGGGATGAGCCGCAAAGCGAAGCAGCTGTTCTTGGGAGTGTAGTGCAAGCTTTTGAATATTACCCACAAAACCTACAGGAACGGTCTGACAGTGCTCTTGCTCTGCTGCAGCCGGTGCTTCTGCAACTTGTTCCACCACCCTGCTGTCGTCGCCAACCCGTGCCCAAAAAGGCTTCAGCCCAGACATGAAACGCAAAGGCTCAGGCTGAAGCCAAGTGCATCCTTCCAGCAGGATCAGCTTTAAGTCGCATGTGCCACATGTCAACGCTTAGGAAATGATGTTGGCACGCGCAAGTGTTGGTACGACACGTTCTTTATAGCCTCAGTATCTATCCTGAGAATCTCTAAGCCCGGCCCCTGCTTGTCCTTTATTGAAGTTATTGAAATACCCTAAACCGCTTTAAGTAGCTAGAATAGGGTTTGGGGGTATGTAGAGTCCGGTGAGTATCCAGGGAAAACAAGCAGATGCGGTTCGAGATTGTTCAGACCCGCAATGTTACACTCTCAGCCAGCAGGTGAGAAGAGACCAGCCTACCCGGCTTGGTTTTGCCAAGTGGCGCGCAGAGTCAACTTTGCCGCACCTTTTTGCTGTTTTTGTTTCATCTCCGCCGGGGGTGGCCTGCTCAAGTTGATGTGCAACAGTGTCTATGTAGCTGCAAACGACAAAACAAAAGACGAGGAAAGGAAAAGCCGCATCTCAGTATTGCATTCTTGTCTTGAGAAAACCATAGCATGGTGCCTGCCTGCTATGGCCACACAGCGAGTCAAGCATGGGCATGGTGGTCGTGGGTGCTGCTTCACATTGTGGCTGTGGCCATTCTGTCTTTGCCGCTATTGCTTCTGTTGACGGCTCGTTGAAGCTCGCACTAGTACTGCCTATGCTCCTGCCATTGCAGTTTGGCATAGTCGTGTGATCGCTTCGGGCATGATTCGCCTGGAGTGTCCGACAGTGGGCGCCGAAATCCCCAAACCCGGAATCCTAAGGACCATGAGTGCTAGAGAAGTAGAAGGCGAAACAGGACCACGCGTGAGAGGGGATCGAAGCCTTCGCACCCGAAAGCCCAAACCCTTATGAGATGCCTGAACGGTACCGTGAAGGAACCCTTCTAGGAACCCTCATGAAGCCCTGTATGAACCCTTACAGGCACCCTCAAAGACCCTTCAAAGGCACCTTAGAGGAACCCTTAAACCGTGAAGGAGCCCATGCAGATCCCTTTAAGGTGCCTCAAAGGAACCCTTAAGGAAAGCCTCCCCGAAGCTTCGAGCCTAGCTCGAGCCGCCAGGTTAGAAGAGTCGAACCAAGACCAGGACCAGGTGTGGTGCCGGCTCGGGGTGTCTTCGGTGCTTATAAGGGTTTCTGAGGCTTTCTTCGGGTTTCTTACAGTTTAGTAGGGTTTATTAGGGTTTCTTAGGCTAGCAGGGCTTATACGGGTTTATTTAATTGCTCAACTTTACCTTGACGGGCCTGCATAGTCCAGCTGGGGATCGAGTTAACCTCATCACCATCATCATGGCATGATCGTGAGGATGGATAAAATCAGTCTCATCAGCATGATTCTGCTCAGCCGGCTTTGTTCATCTCAGCGCAAGAGCCCGGGTAAGATCGCAGTTTGGCCGGGTACTCGTTGCAGCTTTGACCTCAGACCGCCTGTGCTCCTGCCTCCAAAGCCCTGAATCATGCTTCGGACCGCCTTGCTCGGGGCTCTCGCCGCGGTGCCCTGTCCTGCACAAGTTGTATCAAAACCTTGGCACAGAGTCTGCCCGTTGCGAGCTTGCGAGCCCAGGTTGTGCTCGCTTCACTGGTGGATGAAGACAGCACCATCCTGTTGCAGTACTCGCGGCGCGACAAGGCCGGCATCAAGAAGACAGAGTCCAGCTGGCGGCCGTGGTGGCAACATCGTTTCCATGGACCTTGGGGAAGAGGTCGGAAAGAATACCGAGCACCCACCCAGCCCAGCCAGTGTGGCTATCCTATGGTCGACGGCCAGACCTTCGACGTCCACATCTTCTCTTTCTTGAGCGCTGGGAACACTACCTGGGCCGAGCAGGCTGGATGGTTTTCGTTCTTGAGTTTCCAGAAGTATATATGATGTCGTATATGTTATTATATATTGTATTTTATATTACTTAAAGTACAGTATATCATGCTAAAAGACTTGCGAGGAGAAGCCAGCAGTGTTCCATTTAGCATGCAGGGCAGGTTGGACTGCAGGATGGGGTGAGTATCGGGCTGCCTTCACTGCTCGCAAGCTCCAGGTCACCGGGAAACTGTCATTTCAGACTTCGCCGGCAGATGAAAGGTTCGTGGAGGCGCACCTGTCGCAGCTTAGCATCTTGGCAACCACCAGAAAGAAGTTGCTGGCTACACATTGGGGTCTTCGCTGTTAACAGGTTTACATTCGTAGGTTTGAGACTATAGACATTGTTCACAAGCTGACACAAGTATTTCTGAACAAATCTTGATTCTGCGCTGGCGACCGCAGGTAATGGCACGACCAACCTCAGCGACCGCAGAAAGTTGTGTGCACCTGAAGCTGGAGAGCCTGACAGCCCTTGACGTTCATGATGTTGCTTTGGGGTCAGGTTTGTGTACCGTTCGTAGTAGCATCGGGACTGGGAGCAGCAGAACCGGTTGTAGCAGCAGCAGAACCGGCAGCAGCAGTAATTGTAGTGGTAGCAGTAGCAGTAGCAGTAGCGCCAGCGGCAGCAGCACAAGCACTGAGGTAAGTTCGTTTTGGAGTGGTTCCTGCATGGTGCCTAAGGCATGGAGCGGCAAATGGCTGCTCACTTGTACGGAGTACAACAAGGCCACCAACAGCTCACTCTTGAGCGTTGAGGCATTTGCACGAGCTGCCGCCGAGCTCTATGCATTTCTTCAAGCCGGATCCCAGACCGTCCTAGAGGACGACCCTGAAGAAGCAGAAGCAGTTCTCGGAAAAGTCTATGGCCTGGCGGACATCAACGGGGATTTCACGAGCTTCCTCAGGTGACGGACCTCCAGCCTGGATCCTGTGTGCCTGCGAGCTTCGAGCTCTCGCCTCCGGGTCGTGGTTCCTTCTTGCGGGACTCGCGCTTCACAGCACGGCTGGATGTAGGAAGTGCACAGGTTTCCGGTACACCCATGCCAGAGCCAGAAATTTTTCCCAGCATCACCGACCAGACTTTCGATGTTGACCTGACCTTGTCACTCAGCAGAGACTTGCTCAGCCTCAGTGAAGTGTCCGTTCGAAGTGGCTGTAGAATCAGCTAGAAGAGTCCACACAGGGTGCGACCGGCTAAGGTCCCTGAACCCTTAAGCCTTGAACCTCTTTAAGCCCTAAACCCCTAAACCCTAAACCCTAAACCCCTAAACCCGGCTTGTCCCAGTTGTGGGTGCTGAAAACCCCCTGAACCCTGAACCCTAAACCCTAAGCCCCGAAACCCCTAAACCCTAAGCCCCAAAACCTCTAAACCCTCTAAACCCTGAACCCTAAACCCAGGTTCTTCCGGTATCCGGACTTTGAGGATGCATTCGAAGCTGACGTGGTGAACGTCTCCGGCTCTTTGACCTTCTCCAACCAGGTTAACTACGAGAATTCCCCGGACCCACTTGGGGGTTCATGGGTAGTTATAAGTAAGGTTATAAGTCCCTTAGTATGGGTTAGAACGAAAGTTATGCTACTTTAGAACCCTACCTAGAACTACCAATGGCCTAAACGAGGGCCAAGGCTTCTAAGTTTGTCTTCTCGCAACTCCATCGAGGGTTGAGGGTAGTATGCCAGGATCCGAACGGCCGCTTCGTCATCGCAACATACTCGGGTCTTACGGCATCTCCAGCGATTCTCGAAATACCATCGACGTTTCGAGAGATTTGTGCCTACACCAGCGACAAGAAGTCGCTGGTGTGCTCTCGCCTCGTTGATGCCAGTCTTGACGACCGCGACATGGGTTCCTTCGGGCCTTATGCCTTCACCGAGACGTTCACCTTTGTTTTTGCCGAGGTGAACGGTCTCTTCGCTCTTCATGATGATGATGCAAATGCCTTTGTGGAGGCGCTGGTCCGGTTCGGAATCGCGGAGGCCGAGGCCGAGGCGTTCGCCGCTGTCTACTTTGGCGACAACGGAGCCGAAAGCGGAGCGCTGGCTACGGCCATCGCTTTAGTTGAAGGTCTCAGGGCAGCAACGGACAAGAATCGACGCTTTACAGACCTGATCCGCTTGGAGCAGGTTGAGTGCCGGGAGTTCCTCGACTGGACTACTTGTGTACCCTCCTTGCTCCGCTTTGCAAATCCTGGCCGCGGCTCCTTCCTTGGCAAGGTGGAGCAGGAAGGCGAGGAGGAGGCGAAGGAAGCTTTGGATGCGGTGGCCGTGGGCAGCGCAGTTCGGCAGGGATGCCATCTGCCCGAGCTCACCCCAAGCGTTGCCATGCCCGCCTCGTGCAGTTGCGCTGCGGGGGAGTTCCCAAGCTTCCTGGACTCAGGCAGCTTCTCGCTGACGCTCACGGAGTTCCACCGTTTCGAATTTCCGGGCGCATTGAACGCAACTAACGCAACCGTGGAGCAGAAAAATGTCGAAGTCCAGGTCAAGAGCCAAAAGAACGAGCAAGGACTCCCGCAGAGCACCGGCCGCTTCGTTTTGCTCAGGTTGGCTGACGAACAGGTTTCTACGGCAGTCTGTGCCTACGCACGCGATCAGAGCTCCCTCGTGTGTGCCAGGTCAAGCTTACTTTTGCAATCAGTGGAAGTCAATGCCATGATTAGTTTGTCGAAGTTCATCAGCGTGGCTGACTTCGACAACGCAGACGGCGCAGTAATTGAGCAAGCGGCAGGGGGGGGGGTTGTCCAACATTGGGCTCCCTGTGTTGGTTCTCCTTTATGGTATATTCCCCGCTAAAACTTCTGAACCCCTAAGCCCTAGAATATAGTCTAGAACAGCCGCCGTAGGCATACGCCGCCGCCGACGCCTTCAGCGTTCTGGGCCTCGACAGCAACGCTGAGTTCACCATGGAGCTTTCCGTGTCCGACTGCATTCCGAACACGTGCGCGGTCAAGGCTGTAGAACTGCTCCCTGCTGGCCGTGGCACGTTGTGCTTCGGAAAGCAAAGTCGCGAACCCCACTGAATTCTTAAGCCCCAGGTCTACCACAAAGGTCCTAAAGATTGAAGAAGAATCTGGCCTCAGCCCAAACTTTGTGAGATTCACTTTCCGACTCCCAGGTTGAACTATGTGCAGATCGTCAACGAGACAACAAATGAAGTTAGTCCCGTGGGTGTCTCGCAGGCTGTGGTGGCCCTGGGGAATATGACAGGCGATTCATCATAAAGTCCGTGGCGACGTAGAGCATAAGTCCCACATGGGGAGTGGTTTTCCAGAAAAGGACCCGCAAGTGATGTAGATGTCCGAGGACAATTCCTTGCGACTCTTGGACGGTCGCAAGGCCACGATATCTCAGTTTTGAATAGTTTTGACAGATCTGAGCGCAAGCAGTCCATGGGAAGTCAGAGTCGTTGAGGGCAACACATGCCGCAGAGCAGGCGAAGACATTCCGGTCCTAGGCTGTCCCATGAGAACTGCGGCTGCAAGGAGGGAGCAGAAACGCCAGCCTCCTGCACCGAGCTTGCGGTCGGAAGAAGAATGTTGACCGTCTTAACAGACTATCGGCAGATGCCCCTCTTAATGAACCATCAGTCAGTACCACTTCTGCAGACCACCTGTAGAGGTCCGTTTTAACCATTCATGGGCGTCGGTCCACGGAAAAAGGCGCATTGGGAAGGACATGGGACATCATTGACGAGATTGACATGGCATTTCTCACAACTTGGCGTGCTTGCTTGTTTTAGAACAAAAAGATGCGTATTAGGGTCGATTTTCCGTACACGTTCGGTTTTCTTCTTAGTGATCCAGTTTGAGAGACGAGTGGACACACAGACACACAAGTTGTTGGTTTTATTTTTTGAGCGTTGTTCTGGACCAGGTTCCTTGCAGGAGTTACGTCATGAGATTGAATCGAAAGAAGTACATATGCACATAGGACACTAGGGAAGTTTGTTTCTTATCGAATCATCTGCCCTGGGTTGGGCTGTTGAAGTCCAGCTTGGTGCTTCGGAACTTCTCCCCCCCCCACCACTGGGCCACACCCCAAGTTCAGTAGTAGCAGTAGTAGCAGCATCAGCAAAGCAGCAGCAGTAGTGGCGGTAGCAGCAGTAGCAGTAGTCGTCGTAGGAGGTAGTAAGAATTAGGTAGTGTAGAAGGTACTGGGTAGTAGGTAGTTCACCTAGTAGGTCGTAGATGGTAGGTGGTGGGTGGTAGGTCCCTAGCAGGCAGTAGGTAGTAGGTCGTGTGTAGTGACGTGTGAGTCATGAGTAGCTACGAGTCAGGAGTTAGCAGCTAGCAGTTAGTAGTTAGAGTCAGTGCTGGTGGTGGTAGTAGTAGTAGTAGTAGCAGTAGCTGTAGCTGTAGTAGTAGTAGTAGTAGTAGTAGTAGTAGTGGTAGTAGTAGTAGTAGTAGTAGTAGCAGTAGCAGTAGTAGTAGCAGCAGCAGTAGTAGCAGTAGTAATGGT